GGGGTGGGGAGCTAGTGGTTACGGTGACTGAGGGGCTGGGGGAACAATCGAGAAGCTATCAGCGCACGTAACCTTTCAACGATCTCGCGTTTCTCGTTCGTCGTTCGTTCATCTTGGAGATACCTGTTTTTTTTCTTGTCCACGGAGCAAGAAGGAGAAAATGCACCGACTTCTTATCTCGACGTGATCTCGAAGTTTTATCTCTGATATACACTCCTGGATAAATAGTTAGCACACGTGTGCTGTTATTTAGTTCCCAAGGATAAATTGAGGATTCTTTAAAATGTCTCGCAATACGAAAATGGCGGGTTCCTCGGATCATTTGAAGCAACTTCTTCCTTTACAAAAATTTTCTCCGAGGCACCGTTAACGAGTTATTAACGAAACAACAGTGACCAATAAGAATCGAGTACGGCTGACGCGAGGCGGCCCAGCCAACCAGCGCGCGAAGCCCAGTTCCACTCATTGGCTCGGTCGCCTCGCGCCAGCTGAGCTCGCCTCTCATTGGTCACTGTTTTCCGTTAATAACTCGTTAACGGTGCCTCGGAGAACATTTTTGTGAAGGAAGAAGTTGCTTCAAATGACCTGAGGAACCCGCCACTTTCGAAACATTTTTTGGACAGCCTGTATATGTTGTATAGTATGCTATATGTATAGTGACGGACTGGAACTACGCTGTCCGTGCTTGTATTTACAAATAAAAGTCGCGTCGCAGAGTTCGGCGGAACGATGGCACGCTTGACTTTCCACTCGGATTTTTCAGAGTGTTTTTATGTTTCGAGTCGTGCGGACATAGTGTTGTGCTCAGTGTTGGTAGAATTTCTAATCGTCATTGAACAAAATGGGACGCGACAAGGAATTAACCCTTTGCACTCGAGTGGTGACTCTGGGGCGCCACTAAAATTATTATAATATAACATATATATATTTAATATATTTATGATATTTAATATATATATTACATTATAATAAAAATATATATATATATATATATATATTATAATAATAAATAAATAATATTATAATATAATATATATATATATTAAATATCACGTTCTAAGATAATTTTTATGTTATCAAAGTTTAAATTTTAAACATTATTGAAAGTGTAACCGTTGTATGAGTCACGAGACTCAGTTTCGTATGCGTAAAATGCACTTTGTCTAATAAAATGAAAGTACTACAAATCAGAAAAATGCTTTTAGATTTACAGTTAAAATGGCTTCTAGTGCAAAGGGTTAAGCGAAGTCTAAGTGCGAGTGATCTTGAAATTAAGAAAAAAAATTGAAAAATTTAACAAAAGCTCGATATGAAAAATTGCGAGAACTGTGCAGAGGAGGCAATAATTATAGTACACGGAAGAACGGAGTAAATTATCACAAAATTATATTCGTAAATTATTGAATTCTTTGCTAAAAATAATGATCGCAGTTATTAAAAATAAGGGAGGTCCTACACACTGCCAAGAAGTAAAATATTTGTTTCAATTTATCTCATGTTTGTTACACAGATGTTCAATTTTTGTTAATTAAATGCTTCATTTATCAACGTGTGCTGTCATCTCGCCGACCTCTGCTGCGAGACTTTTGTTTATAAATACAAGTATGGACAGCATAGTCCCAGTTTGTCGCTATACAATACATTACAATATTTACCATTTGCAGAATTTCGAAAATTCTTAATATATCCTTGAGACCAAAGTGCTATCTTTTTGTCCAGGAGCGTAGTAACCAGTATCTTTCGCGGGAACTCGTGGAAGACATAACCTTAACATTCGGCGTCGCGGAAAAATTCGCGGTGAGTAAGTATCGTAAACGGTCCAGCCTCTCTTTCCTACACCGTGAACCTGTCTATGAAAAACTCCGACGTGCTTTTCCCCCTCCACGAAACTCGATTTCGCATCGGTTCCTGCCTGATCGTCGCATCGAGCCTAAGATCCGTCGTCGCACGTCGATACATTCTTTCATCTCGCCGCGATGATCGACCGCCTTTGAACGTTCTCCGTCGATTCGCTCGTGCGTGTCTTTTTCGAGAGCTTCTCTCCTTCCGATCCCGTTTCGGATCTCGATTCCGATTCGGCGAAGCTTTATCGAATCGTGAACTAAGCCCTCGCCATCCATCCAACCCACCAGTGCTCGATTGTTTCTCACGGCAATGCACCCATGGGCCTCGTTCGACCACGCTTACGCGACCGAGGTCTCTGTTTCGAAGGTTTCCGATATACAGGGTGTCCCAAAAATGTCTCGCAATCCGGAAATGGCGGGTTCCTCGGATCATTTGAAGCAACTTCTTCCTTTACAAAAATGTTCTCCGAGGCACCGTTAACGAGTTATTAACGAAACAACAGTGACCAATAAAAATCGAGTACGGCTGACGCGCGGCGGCCCAGCCAATCGGCGTGCGAAGCCCAGTTCCGCTCATTGGCCCGGTCGCCTCGCGCCAGCCGAACTCGCCTCTCATTGGTCACTGTTTTTCGTTAATAACTCGTTAACGGTGCCTCGGAGAACATTTTTGTAAAGGAAAAAGTTGCTTCGAATGACCCGAGGAACCCGCCACTTTCGGATTGCGAATCATTTTTGGGACACCCTGTATATCGGAAACCGTCGAAACAGAGACCTCGGATATTGTTCTCGCTGAATTAGTTGAGTTATCGATCGTCGATAACCAGACGCTGTCACCAGCTGACAGGAGACGTCGCCGACGGCTGCTAGAGTTGCATCGTGAACACGTGATCGGACACGCGCAAATCTTTTCAGGCTCTCGGACGATTCCGCTGCTCGGACGTCGAGGAACCGCGTCGGAGAACCCAGCAAAAATCGATTCGGAATCGTCGACTTATCGACTGCTGGTCTCTGCCTTTCTTTTTTCTCTCGAAGGAACAGCTGCCCGCTGACTCCCGTTGCTGTCTAACAGGGACTAAACTCTTGCGATATGCGAACTCGTGTTTCCTCGAAGAGGTTAGGACGACGAGAAACTTGTGAAAAGCAGAATTTTGTCTTTACGCAGAATTCCGATTAGCCTAACTTCTCGGAACAAGTTTTAAGCGGCTTCTTCTAACATTAAAAACAAAAGAAGAAAATTACTCTCTCTTGAAGTTTGTTTAAACATAAACGAGAGTATGTTGCAAGGTTTTTTTGCGATGGAAAAGAACCGAAGCTGCCGCTTCGGTGATATCTCATCTCGAGAAACAACAGTTTTGGGACCGTGGTCGCGCTCACGGTTGTCGTTCTTGCCGCTCGAAATCACAACGAGGTTATGTTCGCGAGGTGTTCGCCCGTCGATGTGAGGTTATGAGTGTGCGTGGATCACTGTTCGGGGAGCGTGTAGTGTTCAACAAAAGCAATCGATACGCGCGGCGTATCGAGCTACAACGCGTTCGACTACGCTGTGTTCAGACTGATTTAACTCTGCTCTCGGTCTACGTGGCCTAATTTAGTGCAACGACGAAACTGCTGCCTACGGAACCTATATAGCTACGCGCTACGAGAATCGTGTGTAGAGATCGGTCACTGCCAACGTTCTCTCCTCGAGCGTCGAACTCTCTGCTTCTTGCTGTGCTTTGTCTCTCCGTTCGCTCGTTTGCTGTCGCGCGCGCGCGTTCCTCCTGTGTTTTTAGCCCGATTACAAGTGGGGGCGGGAGACGGGAGAGAGAGAGAGGTGACGGGTGCAAGAGACAGAAAAACTCTACGAAAAGCAACGGTCCAAGCGTTCGCCCGACGAAACACCGTAAACGGGACGACTCTGTGGGGCTAATTCGGCGCGTGCGAAAAGAAAGTCGCTCTCGGAGGTGAAGATCTTTAACGATGCGTTTTTTTAAATCTATTAAATATAATAATAAATACAGGATGTCCCGTAAATGTCTCGCAATCCGGAAATGGGAGGTTCCTGGAGTCATTTGAAGCAACTTTCTCCTTTGCGAAAATGTTCTCCGAGGCTTCGTTTACGAGTTATTAACGAAAAACGGCGGTCAATGATACGCGGGCTCGGCTGGCGCGCGGCGGAGCCAATGAGCGGCGCCAGTCGAGCTCGCGTCTCATTGGTCACCGTCTTTCGCTGATAACTCGCAAACGAAGCGGCGGATCGCGTTTTCGCAAAGGAAAAAGTTGCTTCAAATGATCTCGGGAATCCCCTACTTTCGGATTGCGAGACATTTTTGGGACACCCTGTATAAATATAAATACAAATATTAGTACTGGTAAATACGCTTCGATCGACCACGAACATCCTCGTAATGCGCGTCGAAGTTTTTCTCTCGACGAGTTTCGAAACAAGCAATTTACTCGAGCAATTTGCGTTTCGTTCTATTTTATGATGCAAAAGAAAGCGGTGCACGGGGTGTCTGGAAGCGATTATATCGAGACCACGCGCGAACGTTAACAGCGACCAGTAATTAAATGAAGCGACGGCACAGAGGAAACAGGCCGTTTACGGGCCAAGGAAATTGTAACATCGATTTTCCCCGCGCAATTACCCTCGCATCCGAGGAACTTTGAGCGATCGTCTCCAACTTGAGCTAGAAGTTCGCCAGGAATGAATAACAGTAAATTTCTGTTTCATGGTCGAACGACGCTCTAATATTAAACCCATTGTCCGCCGATGTTCCACTTCTCGGGCACTTTTTCATAATTATTTTTTTCTTTTAAAAACAGCAACTTCCGAATAAAATACATT